CCAGATGAGATCAGATAGTCTGAGTACTTAATCACAACAATCTATAAACTGTGAATTTTTCCTCACTCTGCTCAACAGCTTAGAGCTGAGAGCTGGTGAAGAAAGGAGGCTTGGAAGATGAGACTATTGGCAAGAGAATGGATGAATTGATGAGTAGCATGATCTAGCTAGATGGAATAAGAAGCAAAGAGACTTTTCCTGGTAAGCTGGAAAAAATAAGGTAGTCAAAGATAGGCTTTCTAAATGCAGTCAGAAAACAGATGTAAAAGGAATAAAGGAGTGAGCATCTTGAAGAAATAGCCAGGGAGTGGAATGTAAGACGCCAGGAGTGAAAATATTGCTACAGAAACCTATTCCAGACTGTTAAAGATGTGGGAGTGACTGATGCAGAATGGGAAAAAGAGTTAGAAATTGAAGGCAAAAGAAATGAGAAGTCAGAACACTCTAAGGTTTGCCCACGTGAAGGCCACAATTATAGCCAGGCTTAAGGCACATGGTGAAACCGTTGACTGGGATCAGACCCTTCAGGGAGGATGGTCACGGATGAGGGATATTGACAAGTGTTGGGTGGATGGTGGAAACGTGAAAAGGATCGAGATGATAAAGCCAAGTATAAGTGGTAAAGTAGAGTCTGCTTACATACATGGGCTCTGAGTCGTAATGGTTTAGAAACAGCACCAAAGAAGCAAGGTACTGTCAAAGCAGCCTCCATATCCTGCGTTACATGAGCCTTGGGAAACTAAGAAAACTCCCCTTCAGAGACTGAAGTTGAAGCCACCTTCTTAGGGAAGAACCAGGTGTTAGTAAAAGCCAACAGAGAGAGCCTTCTGTAGCCTGGTAAGGGATTTGTGTACGTAAGATTGGGGTTCCTGCTTGAAGTGCAAAGGTCTGGCTGGGGTTGGAGGATGGGTCTGTGTTGGAGAACACTGAGACATATGGGGATGACATTGCTGAAGAGAACACATTATCTACCACTGCTGAATTTATTAGATTTGTCGCTTTTAGCAAAACAAGACTTCCAGCAGATGTCCAGACGTTTGAAGTCCCACATTACCACTATATCTTGCTTCTGTGACAGTTTCATGATCTGTATTAGGGAAGCATCTGCTGGGCTGAGTGAGCTGTCATCTTCTTCCACAGCAACATCAAATATGGTTTCCTTTCCCTTCATCCTCACCCAAATGTTCTACTGTGATCCACCCTCAGACCCATGGATTCCCATTCAGTTGCACACCTCCTTGGCGTGCAAGGATACTCCTCCACCACTTCTGTTCTGTTCTCTTTTTATTAAGAAAACAATTTAATCAAGTTCTGGGCTCTTTCCTTAAAAGGTTTCCATGATAGATCTGAATTGATACTAGCTGACTTATGCCAAAGTGTTTCTTTCGTACTGTATGTTATCAGTTCTCAGTATCTTTATTTCCACAACTAAGGACTTTAGTATGTTTATTGAATAGATTTTCAGTTACTTTATATGGTACACTGGAATTTAGCTCATCCCATTGTTTCCTCTATTTTTCTCTATTTCTTGCTTTTATTTTCTAGAACATTCTACTTTTCAAATCCTTTAAGAGTAGACACCATTCAAATTTTTAAACTGACTTTTGTATGGATTGCTTTAACTCTTGACAAATTTATTTTTCCTAGTTCTCAGGAGGTGCCCTCTTTGATGCATCGAACAGCACTTACTAGTATTAGAGGTGTTTTTATTCAAATCCCTTTTAGCATATCCTAGAGAAGAGTTATGTATATAAGAGCCAAGAATGTCTTTGATCATGAGAGCGTCAGTAGTCACCAAGTGCGGTGGGTCTTGGACACCCAACAAATCTTCCTGTTCTTGTTACAGCCCCCTAACACCTGATGCTGCCGTCCGCACCTGACTCAGTCAAACCATTATGGTCTACCTTCAAGATGGGGCAATCAGATTCACATGCTGCCTGGGAATTTTGATCATAAACTGAGAGCTACCCACTGCAATCTCGGGAGAGATGAGGCAACTTGATGACAATACCTCGTTATAACATCGAGGAATTCCTTGTCCCTGGAGCTGTTCTGGCATTGCCCTTGCAGAAGCTTTGCCACCCTGCTCTTTCATTGCCTTTGAGTACCATGCTACCTTCTCATAAATCTCCTTTGTACTTAAGTAGGCCAAGGTCCATTGCTTTCTATTGCATGTACCCAAAATAACATTAACAGATACAATAAGCTTGTTAGTGCTACACAGAGAGCTGTTCTTTGCCCAAGGACAGCACATTTCAATTTAGCCAGGTATTTTTTAAAAATCTGTGCCAGGAAGCAAAGTTGAATCTGGACCAAAAAAATATACATGAATCAGTGAAAGTCCATTATCTGTTATGGAAAAGCAAAAGAACACATACAAATGACTCTAACAGTGGATTATAACATAAAAGCATCCTTTTGTATGTTATGTATATGAGTTTTGATTATAAAGAGTTATGCCTCAATTCTTAAATGTGTCGCAGAAGTGATTTCATTGCTAGTTATATCATATGTTTACCATTTATGAACAAAATCTTTATACGCTGCACATCTGTGAGAATTCCTTTTTTGTACGATTTACCAAGAAAAAAATGAAGGGAGATAAAATTAATCCATCTCTTACATGTACTCCAGTTCACTCTATAAAATAAAATGAAGGTGGTTGAAGAAGGCAATTATAAGATTTCGTTTTCTCGCTAAGAAGCTCAAAGTACTTATCTGTCGTTATTCAATTGATTTTGTAGGATCCCCTTGAGAGTTGTGGAATACAGTTATTTTATAACCAGAGAAATTAATGCAGAAACACCACATGCTGTGTTAACTGTAAGAGCAGGATTAGGAATCATATCCTCTGAGTTTATAAATTATCATTAGCCCATTAAATTATGTGGAGTTCGTCCCAGTGCTGTACACTTTCTTCTTCCTAACTGTGCTTCCAATGTAGCAATGAACTAAATGGCCAACCATTTTATGAACCTTCTGGTTTAAGGTAAAAGAAATCATTTAGTGTCAATTAACTTCGTTCATGGATCGACCCCTGTCTTTACAATTCCCTATGAGAGCGGGTGGGTCACTGTTAAAATGTCACATGCATAATGACAGGCAAACCATTTTAGAAGTTAGTCACTTTTTTTGGTCTTCTATTAAACGTCTTGGCCTGGTAGTCTGTGTATATCTATCATATCTTTCAATGGCATCTGCCTTTAATTTTCCACATTTACCATCCACTCAGCCACACTGTTTTATTTCCCATGAGGTGAACATTATTATCTTTTCCCACTTCCTTTCTTTACATTTCTTATTTTTTTCTGACTCATGCTGTTTCTCCTGACATAATGACATCTCCTTCTGCTGACTTGACCTAAATCCTGTGTATCCGACCTTCTCCATAGGGTCTTCCCTGGAACTTCAAACTAAGCCATTCCTCTCACTTGTAAATTCAGGTCAGACTTGTCTCTCTGCTGTTAAGGGTGTTAGTACTGTTTACTTAACTTCTTCCTCATCCCTTGAACATGTATTTAACCCTCATTTTGTTACTTCCTGTACTGACATCTCTTCTTCCCAAGGAGATTAAAATCTTCCCAGGACAGGAACAGTGACTTACCTGATTCTAGCTCAGATAACATCCAGTGCAGTATTTTGCATTTACCAGGTATTTAAAAATGCACAGTGTGGAGTCTTGATTAATTTACTTAGCATGCTTCAGCAAATCTGATGCTTTGGAAAGCAGAGGAAATTTTAAAATGCTTAATTTGTACCTATTAATAATATAAAGGGGGACAATTAAATACTTCTATATTTATAAAATGAAGAATGGTTCATAAAAATATGATTTTAGTTTGTAACGTCCTTACACTGAATACTATTCCATTAGACAGCAATTTAGTTTTCATATAGTGAGTTAAATAGCACAATCACTAGAAACTCCTTCAGATTAATATTAATCTTGATTGTCTCGTAGTCTAAAGGAAGATACCATTTTTGTTTATTGGGCATTTTATTCTGTTGTCTATGCGGGCAGTCATTGGCCTCTGTGTAAACAGCCAAGGGTTCTCCCCAAGCCTACTTTAAACCATTATTCTCTACCTGCTGTTTTGACCCACCCATCCACAATTGTTATAACCTATGCCTCGCCTATTGTGTGGTAGAGAGCTGGTCAAGTTCATGGTTTTTAGCCTTTGTATACAATGCTTATTCCAGAGCACCCTAGACCACCTCGTTTCTCTGAGCTCCTTCTGCATCTCACTCTATTTCTTTACTCAAAAACATAAACATTCAGTTAAATAAATCTCTCTTGAGTTCTTATTAGCAGCAGGGTACTGGACTAGCTGTTGCTAATGAATCTACTGCTGTGTCAAAATATTTAAAGATTACATTTTGAAATGTAATCTTTGATCAAGCTACTCCACCCTAAGATTTTATCCTGAGGAAATAATCAGAATTAGGCAATAACATTCATGTACAGAGATGTTCATAATAGCATTATTTGAAATGTCAAAATATTTAAAACCAAAGCAAGAAAATACTGCATTTTCATAAGCAGGAAACAACTTATAAACATCAAAGAACATCGGAAAAGGATATTTTATGACAAGATAAATGGGTACCACATATTGTGATATAGCATGATTTATTAAATCATTTACTATCACATGCAATATGTCACACATAAGTCAAGGCACTAGTTACATGGCCATAAAAAAGTAAAGAAGCACCTGCCCAGGTGAAGCTTACATTCTCATGATGAAACAGAGACTAAAAGATAAGAAAATAACTACATCGTAAATATCAGGCAGTGACAAATAGAATAAGGGGGAGCCTGACTCAGGAACTATTTTTCATGATAGTCAAGTAAGATAAAATCAGTCAAGTGAATACCTGAAAAAGAGTATTTCACACAAAGCAAATCTTAAAGATTTGATATTAGAATGTACTTGGCCTTGAATGTAGTTGGTGTTCAAAATAAACGAATGAAAACTTTATTTTTTCAATTCTTTCAGCTGTGATCTTCAGAATTGCATACGTTTTATTAGTCAGCTGTATAGAAGCGGGTACTATGCCTTCTACCTATCCCTGGGCCTCTATGATGGAGTGCCTACCATTTTTCAGGTACTTTTTTGCAACTTATTTGAAATGTTTATAAAATAAGAATTTCAAATCTATCAAATCTAAAATTTTGATATTACACCTCCTCCTTTTTCTGAGAGACAAGGGGCTAATATTTTTGACTACAGCTGCATGAGTCCAGGATTCAAACATAGCCATATGTTGATGTATATCCAAAACTCTTTCTACCACAATCTACACTCTGTCATGACCAGCTAAGGTGTGAACATTTGTACATTTGCACAGAACAAAAAGTAGGAGGTATCTGGGGTGTGGACTGCTAAGAGAAAGTGCAATTTTGTACATGAGCTTCCAATACACTCAAAAAGTATTAAATTTTAGTACATGAACTAATCCCTGCTAAGCTTAACAATGACATATAATGTCCAATATAATTTTAATGCAAATTTCTATGATTCATTTCCTAAAAGTTTCAACAGTAATTGGTTACTGCTCACATTAAACTTGAATTTCCCTATTTGGAAAATTAAGCATATTCTAGTTTTACAAACATGTCAGTCTTCCTTTTTAATAATAGTTTAAAATGATATTTCAGTGGTTTACATTTAACACTCAGATTTACCTACTTCCTACCCCCCATCAATGAATGACAATCGACCTTTAATTCTAATCCCTCCACCTGGAATTTACCTTGTTCTCTGCTGATATTCTTGGACCTAAAGTCTTTTTCTTTGCTGGTAGAAAATTATCTCCCTTTTGCCCAGCATCTCTGAATTCCGCTCAAAATCTTTCATTTTCCCTAATTCATGGTAGGAAATCTCAGAAATCTGAAGGGTTACTGGGGTCTGACCTGGTGGTCTCATTGTCCAGCAGAGCTTACTCTGAAAACCGGCCGTCTACACCAAGGCCCTCTCCACTCCCGTCTCTTCCTTGATCAACTAATAGGTTTTAAGTTGAAATAATTTATTTTACTAAACAAAATTTGACAACATTATTACTTTGCATTTAAGAGCAGAGACTTTAGTGTCAGTTACACCCGGGCTGAAACAGCAGCTGCTGCTCTCATTACATGTTACTCAATTGTTTCAGCCTTCCATGCTCAACTGTAAAATGGGGAGAATCCTATTTTATACTATATAAGGTTGTAGAAGGATGAATTTTTTTAAATAACAAACTTCTAAAAACTCTAAAGTCTTAAGTAAAAATCTTAAAAGTTTAAGAAACTATATGGTACATATTAACACAGAAGGAGTTGTAATTATTATTACAAACCACCTCAGATAGCTAGTAGAAGTTTGATTATTTGTAAAGATGCCAGCTGCTCTTTTCCTGAAAATGCTTAAATACATACTTCAACAAACTGAACCATGATTCATTAAAAATCGGGTTACAGAGAAAATTAATATGTGTGAATGTTTCTGTTTGCTGTAGATGTGATGAAACATACACAAGGCGTTTTTCCTTTTACTTATTTTCCTTTTAATTATTTTAGCATAATGAGCTATACAACAAAACAGTCATAAAACTATGTTGGCACATTAATTATATAATCAGAAGGCCCCTGTTTAGTGAAGAGAGTTTAGATTTGAGATCAAGTGTAGGTTTTATCTTATCTAGCTGCGTGGTCCTCTGGTAAGGTGCTAAACTTCTATGAACCTCTGTGTTTTCCTCATCTCTAAAATGAGAGCACTGCAGAAACATCCCATGAGTGTTTAGGATGATTCATAAAAGTAGTATTTAAATCCAAAATTATATGGTAAGCATCGCACACATACCCTCCACCCTTATACACACACACACACACACACTCATACACATTTACAAAATAGAAGGAGTTAATAACGAAAACAGAAGAATTTACCAAACTGTACAATTAAAGAGAGTCAGGGAGGCAGAGAGTCATAGTATGCATGCAAAAAGAAAAAAAGCACAAAATCCAAAGTAAGATATAATTAAAATTCATAAAAGACCACTTTGCTCAACTACAATTGATGACAACTATATGATATAGATGACAAGCTGATCACATGCAGTATTGTGAAGACTAAAGGGAAACAGGCATTTATCCATTATGATGAGAGTATAACTCATGTAACCTTAATGGAAAGCAATTTGGCAATCCACTAAATTTTGTAATTCACGTACACTTTGACTCAACAAATTCACGTCTTGAAATTTATCCTACAGACTCTCTTACATGTGTGAAATGATATATGTACATACAGAAAATACAACCTAAATAAGGATTTGTTATATTATCTTGGGACCATACAATGAAAGGATGTCACTCCAGGCTTCTTTTCCCACTGGAAGAATTGTAGGCTCAGGAGAAACCCCTGTCTGCGTCACTGGGCTGGCTGGAGGAGGGGCAACATGGTCAGCATGTAGCCTTTCCTCTTACCCTTCTACCACGGTCTCTCTTGGTCTCTATGGTGTGGGGAGTGTGCTTCAGCCTCTTCTCCATGTTCTAGGATTCTCTCAGTAATGTGTTGTCCATGAATAGTTGTTAGTTTTTCTTGTGAAGGAGAATGAAATCAGAAACGACCAATGTTACTGTCTTGCTGGTGTCACTCCTACTTTATTTTTAGCTTTTGAATTTTTTTCTCTTCTTTGTGTATTATAAGTTCAAAAACCATAATGTATTTTTAAAATCATAGATTAGTTATTTTGAAAAGCCGGGACTTAAACCTGTATTCTCTCTCTTAGATTTTCACTCAGTTCATTAGCATATAAGAGCTCTAAAATTCATTTAAAAATAATTATTTTTGGTATACTTTCTACCAAACATCATACTAGATGCTGGGTTTATAAGCATGAGCAACACAGACGCAGCCACCAATCTCACGAAGCAGCTTATCATTCAGCTGGGAAAACAAACCATAATGAAATAAATTAATATTTTAAACTATTTTATACATTTTTCAGTATCATTTGACTATATAACTTTTTAATGTGTATCACTTTTAACAACACTTGAAACACACTTTAAGAAATACTATGCTGTAATATTCTCTTAACAGCAATATCTTTCACAAAGGAAAAATAGACCAAAAAAAGAAACAGAAAAAATAGGCTTGATATACGCTTAATGCCCCCTCCAAATGAAAGAGAAATGAAGAAACTTTTTAAATTTGGGGAAACTGGTTCCACACAATAGTCAGTTCTTTATTTATATTATATAGAATTAAGATTGAATGAGATCATTATACACAGCAGTAGTCTGAGTGAATGGGTAATAAATATGAGCTATTGTTGATATTTTTATGAACACATCCTTGTAAGAGATATAGTTAATCTGAATGCATAATATGAAATGTGCTATTTGAGTCCAAGCTCTATATACCTCAGTAAAGAGTAAAGAGACTGGCATACTGATTAATGATAAAAGGTAATAATAGATGCTTTAATTGGATTAACCAACTCCTATTCACCATCCTTCTTCTGCAGCCACTATCCAGTAAAATTGGTCTACAAGTGGCCACATGACCCAATTTTGGCCAGTGCAATAAAAGTTGAAATCTCTGAGTAGAGCTTCCGGGAAGACTTTCTAACAGAGAGAGGCTTGGCAGGCACACCACTTTGCCCTTCACCATTTGTTCCTCTTTTTCCAAGAGCATATAAGTAAGTACAACAGCCATCTTGAAACTTCAAGGAAAAGGCCATATCTAACAAACAGCACACAGAAATATTGAAGAGACCCTGGTTCCTGATAGTGTCACTGAGTCAGTATACCAGCTCTGGTCTGCTTATCATCAGACACCCTATTAAGCGAGAAAAATAAATCTACATGTGTTAGTGAGTTTTCTGTTATGTGCAATAAAATGCATTCCTCACAAATAAAAGGAAAAATGGGGACTCTTGAGAAAAATTCTTATACAAAAACATGTTACAGAAAAAGCAAGGCTAATATAAAAAGTAAAAATAAGCATAGCCATAAAATAATCAATCATGGCATAAACCATAATCCTAAAACCATCAGAAGAAATCATGCTTCTTATGAATAATATGTAAACCTTTGCTTAGGAGGAAGGAGGGTTTTATTGGATTTCCCATAAGAGAATGATAGTCCTGGAACATTGAGAGACAGGTAATAATATTTAAAATTCCCAATATTCAATGGATGGATTATCCACATTTAATCCTAAGATATAACCTAGCTATTTGTAAATTGGATCAAAAGCATGCCATTCACTTTTGTCACGTTTTTTTAATATCAATCCCATGAATATATTGATAGGCATTACATTCTTCTTGCTGAAAGAGTACCAAGTCATTGCTCAAAGAGTGCTATTCTGCTCCCTGAGGCTGCAGGGTCCTCGGGTACAGGATCATAGGGATTTATGGATTTAGGAAACACACATTTATTGAGTAGCTATTCCAGCACACACTGTGTTGAGTGCTGGAAAAGAGACTACAGAGATGACTAATTTACGGTAACTGTATGTAATGTAGACTTCAGTCCATTAGGAGGACCAGACATTTCCAGAAATTATACACAAATGCAATGCAAGGGAGGTAAAAGTACCGACTACAGTGAAGACCCAATAGTCAAGTGCCATTTGCGAATTGTTTGCTGGCTTTGGGAGTGATGGCGGAGTGTTGCAAAAGGTCTGACCAGGATCAATGGTGTTATACCCCAGTCCCCAAATCACTGGCACCAGGAAAGGATATTTCCCAGATACACCTCCTTCTCACACCCCACCCTTTCTCCACTAGCTAGGGAGAATATTGGGGGAGGAGGGGGGCAGGGATTGGACTTTAGGACCTTAGAAGTGTCTTCCAGGTCTACCTGCATCAGCATTCTCTAAATTATAAGGGGGAGGTTGTTGACTCCTCCTAGAAGCAAATGTCCTCAGAAGAATAATTTTTCCTCTTTCTTCATGTGAAGGAGAATCTTTTCAAACACATGGGTACTTCCATCTTGCCTCTGCCTTCTAGTCTTCTCCTCTGTGTCAAGTAATACTTATCCTCAAAGTTTTTCTAGAATTCTTCAAACCCAATGGCTAAAATAAAACGTATCCCTCCCTACAGCTCTCTGTATGAAAGGCAGCGCTCTCATTCTCCACTATGTAAGGTTTTAGAGGTAGAATATACATTTCTGTACCTATTTCAGACCCCCGGTTCTCCATCTGCAAGTGGTGCTTCCCACCACCACCTTTGAAGCTTATGCCTGCTGCTTCTCCTACCTTTACTGCTCCTTCCTCGGGGGGCCATGGCAGTGGACTCACAGTCCTCGCCCTCACCATCATGGCGATCTGGGAGCTTTGGTGGAAGAGGGATGGATGGTGCTTCAGAATCTATGTGAATGGCCACACAATATCTTACATGAAAATTATTTGAACTCTTTTCCTCCCACACTTATGACCTTTACTTAGTAATTTATTCTCCAGATAGTACCAAATCCTGGATTCATCAATATCTAAAAATTTAAAACCCAACATGCCGTTTTGGGATTATGATCCCTAATCCCTATATTATTCCATGCTGTACTGCCATAAATATGTTCTTCAATCTCATCGATCTCCACTCTTTCTTGAGTACTATCTTTTCTCAGTGTTTATTAACCCTTCTGACTTCACTAGTGTTCCAGTATAGCAGAGCTACCCTCCCAACCAAAACCACACTATTGAAATTACTTTTGAACTATAGATCCTTGGTAATCTATCTTCTTTTTAACCTTAGATCACTGTGAAATAATTTCTGAATTCTCTATTTCTAAACATGGGACTACTGTTGTCTAGTACTAAAGTATCTTAGTTATCACCCACCGATTCCCACCATACACACACACACACACACACACATCCCAGCCCACGCTCTACCACACACTCACATGCTCTTATCAGTAGACCCTCTCAGTCTCTGAGTAGTTACTTCTCTTATTCCCTATAGCTATTCCAAAATAATTTTTTAAAATATTTCTCAGTATTCCTAACCTGTGCAAGTTCCAACTTCTTCTCTATTAGAAGAGCTTGCTTTCTACTCCTCAGAGAAAGTTGAAGTAATCAGTATCGACTTCTTTTATTTAACCAGCTATAAATATATTATCTGCATGCACTCTATTTTCTCACCTCTAGTCTCAAGGGAAAAAATGTCCCTCTGCCTCTCTAACACTAATTAATTCAATGGTGTCTGAATCAGAGCTTCTCAAACTTTAATGTGCTAATGAAGTACCTGGAAATCTTGTTTAATGCAGATTCTGATTCAGTAGGTCTGGAGTAGAGCCTGAGATTCTAAAAAATTCTGAACAATGTTCATGTTCCTGCCCCACAAGTTATACTTTGAACAACAACGTTCTCAACTACCATTCCCTCTCTTCTCCAAAACCTTCGTCTATCAATTATATCTTCTCTCTCTTCTGCTGTTTTAAATTATTCCTCTACACTGGCCTCTTAGACTATGTAAACATTTATTTAAAAAGTGAAAGGAAAGGAAAACAAAGACAACCTCTGAACCCTGGGATTCTACCTCTTACAAAAGTCCTTGCCTTGCCTTGTCTTTATAGCTGAGCTACATGGAAAATTCTGGACCACAATACTGACACTTCTTCCTCATGGTCAATGTACTCTTCAACATCTGCAATATGATGTATGCACCCTTGTCTCTAAAAGTACTATGTCAAAGATAGCCAATGATGTGCCTAACCCAAGGCTCCACCTTCTGTCCTTTAATTACTTGACAAATGGAACATTCAACACTGTAGCCTCTCTTTATTTATATTTCATTTAATTATTTTTCCAGATTCTTCTATTTCCTCCAAACTCTTAGTATTACCATCATAGTCCCTTCTCTCCAGTTGTACCTTCTCTGTTTTGTCCTGCATCATCAGCTCCTTAGATGTTTCTGTTTCCTCAAGGTCACCCCGATACCTAGTTTCTTTTCATCCTAAAAATTATCCATAAGTTAGCTCATTTGAACCTACAGCTTCAATTCTTCTGCATATAGTACTTACTTTCAGTTTCAACATTCCCTATAGATGTCACGTGTAAGGAACTTGTCTATTTCAATGACCAAGAGACACTTCAAACCAATGATGTCTCAAACTTAGCTTACCATTTTCTCCCTCAAATCTATGTTTTTCTCTTTTATTATTTATGATCCGTGTCACCATCTATCCCAATCAGGGCTGACTTATCCCAAAGGACAGTAGGCACAGTCCCTAGAGCCACAATACTTTCAAAACCTGAGGAAAGCAATAACTTTTAGGTCAAAGAAACTGTTTTAATATATAGTATATACAACATAATCATAAAATATAAATTTTTAAATTTTTTTCCCTGGAGGAAGTAGCTCATGAAGGCAAAAGTGCCTGGGACCCAGGAAAGTAACACTGTGGCCCCAATCCTAGTCTCCTAAACTGTGATAACTCAGAGCTCTTCTAGGCACCTTTTTTCTCCCTCTATTCTTACATTCAATTGGTAATCAAGTGCTGGTAACTCTATACCACTTTGGAGACATTGTCTTAATTCCGGGTCTTACATGGACTACTGAGTGATTCCTAACTGGCTTCTGCCTCCTGTCTTGTCCTCATGACTCTACATGGACTAGTGATTGCTCTAAAACGAAATGCCAATGATCGCTTCTTTGTTTAAAAATCCTCCAGGGCTTTGAATATCCTACAAGAAAAAGATTGAATACCATTTCTTTCATGACCTATGCTTTGCAGACCTTGCTAGTTTCATTTCCCTTATATATCCAGTGCTCCCTCTAGGCTAAATTACTGGCAGTTCTTTGTGCCTGATATTCTACATATATATGCAGGCAGGTGCTTCTGACAGGGGAAGCCACTTCTCCCCAGTTAGCAGAATAAGGTCTTATTCACCTTAAAAGCCTCTCCACCTCCATAAAAACAGTAAGTGCATGTAATTACTTACAAAATAATCCTACCGTAGTAAGTACACAGTTCAGACACACAACTCACCACATGCATTTGTATCTATTTTCTTTTGTGTCTTACTTTAGACTGTGGGCTCCTCAAGGAGAAGAATTTTGTCTTATCAATCCATATGTATTCAGCGCCTGGCATAGATAGGCATTCAACAAATGTATGTTGGATAATTGAAGAAATGAATGAACTATTTGAAAGTACACTTTAGATATGCATTTTATTAAAACTGCAAATAGTAGCAACCATCCTTGAAAGTGACATGATTTCAGCCCAAATCCCCATATCCATTTCTAATTATCTAGTTATAATCTGTCACTCTACCTCTGAATGGTCAAAAGCAGCATATAAGTGAACAATAATTTGATATAAAAGTAGAACTCAATTGTAAAATACAATATTTATGGTTAATGCCAATGCATACAACATGTGACTTTAAATATGCAATATTAACACAGAAATATAATCTAAAAGAAAATATCCATTTACTTAAGAAATTGCCTCATTAATAGACCTCAAGAATCTTCTTAATCTCCTACTTTGGTAACCTAAATAATTTTCGGAAGTACCCAAAGGAAGTACCTAAAGAGAGATTCAATTCAAAATTTAAAAATCCTCAAATAGGTCCACTGAAAACTGAAATAATGTTTGAAAATGAAGCTATATGCATTCTCTTTGTTGCTTTTCTTCTGTGACCACTAAAATTAGACAGTATTCTCAGCTGATTAAGGTGTTCTTTGATCTGTCTAGTACCTACTGTAACATGAAAAAGAGAATCATCAAAACATACCACAAATATGGTTCAAATATGTTTAGCTCCTCTGTTTTCTCCACAATAACTTTAGGTTAGTTACTCATTCATTAATTCAACAAATATTTACTCAATGCCTACTAATGACTCAAGTGCCTACCTGGCACCTTACCAGATTTGGGGGCACCAAAGGGAAGTAAACAAGGAGTTTGCAATTTATCAGAGCACACAGACAAAAATAAATATTGATGAGTGTTATGGATTGAATGTTTGTGTTCTCCCAGAATTTGTATGTCGAAGCTTCAACACCCAATGAGACTGTATTTAGAGATAGGGTCTTTAGGGAGGTAATTAAGGTTAAATGAGGTCATAAGAGTGGAGCCCTGATCTAACAGGATTAGGATTCTTATGAGAAAAGACACAAGCAAGCCCGTTCATTCTCTTTCTCCATGTCATGTAGGGACAGTGAAAAGTCAGACATCTGCAAGCCAAGAAGAGAGTCCTCATTAGAAGCCAACCCTGCTGGACGTTGATCTGGAACGTTAAGCCTCCAGAGCTATGATAAAATAAATTTCTGTTGTTTAAGCCACCAAGTCTATGCTATTTTGTTACGGCAGCCAGGCAGACTAATACAGTGAGATAAAGGATATGAAAGGGGATGCATGAGATCATTTTTGACAAAAGTGCCAAGACAATTCAATAGGAAAAAAAAGTCTTCAGCAAATAGTGCTGGGACAACTGGGTATCCACATGCAGAAGAATGAAGGTGGCCCCTTATCTCACAGCATATACAAAAATTAATTCAAAATAGATCAAAGAACTAAGTATAAGAGATAAACTATAAAATTCTTAGAATAAAACCGATTTTATAAGTAATTTTATAAATCTTTGTTACCTGGATTAGACAATATTTCTTAGAGATAGCATCAAGCAAAAGCAACAAAAGAAAAAAATAGATAAATTGGACTTCGTCAAAATTTAAAATATTTGTGCTTCAAAGGACACTATTAAGAAAGTAAACGGATAATCACAGAATGGGAAAAAGTGTTTGCAAATCATATATCTAATAAGTGTCTAGTACCCAGAATATGTTAAGAACTCTTACCACTCACCATTATAAATACAAATAACCCTATTTAAAAATGGATAAAGTATTTGAAATCATATGGTGTTTGTCTTTATCTGTCTGGTGTATTTTGCTTAACATGATGTCCTCAGGTTTCATCCATGTGGTTGCAAATGAGATGATTTCCTCTTTTTTTATGGCTGAGAAGTATTGCATTGTATATATATACCACATCTTCTTTATCCAATCATCAGTCAGTGGGCACTTGGGTTGCTGCCATGTCTTGGTTATTGTGAATAATGCTGCAATGAACATAGGGGTGCATAAGTCTCTTTGAATTGTTGATTTCAAGTTCTCTGTGTAGATACCCAGTAGTGAGATAGCTGGCTCATATGGTATTTCTATTTTTAATTTTTTGAGAAATCTCCACACTGTTTTCCACAGTGGCTGCACCAGTTTGCATTCCCACCAGCAGTGGATGAGGGTTCCCTTTTCTCTACAACGTCTCCAACGTTTGTTGTTTTTTGTCTGGGTGATTATAACCATCCTACCGAGTGTAAAATGATATCTAATCGTGGTTTTGATTGGCATCTCCTTGATGATTAGTGATGTTTAGTATCTTTTCATGTGCCTGTTGGCCATCTGTATATCTTCTTTGAAAAAATGTCTGGTAATATCTTCTGCCCAATTTTTGATTGGGTTATGTGTTCTTTTGTAGTTCATTGGTGTGAGTTCTTTATATATTATGGAGACTAACCCCTTGTTGGATATATGATTTGCAAATATTTTCTCCCAGTTGCTGGGTTGGTTTTTCATTTCAATCTTGGTTGCCTTTGCCTTCCAGAAGCTATTCAGTCTGATGAAGACCCATTTGTTTATTTTTGCTTTTGTTTCCCTTGTCTGAGTAGACATGGTATTTGAAACAATCCTTTTAAGTCTGATGTCAAAGAGTGCACTGCCTATATTCTCTTCAAGAAGTTTTATGGTTTCATGTCTTACCTTCAAGTCTTTGGTCCATTTTGAGTCTACCTTTGTGCACAGGGAAAGATAATGGCCTACTTTCATTCTTTTGCATGTGGCGGTCCAGTTTTCCCAGCACCATTTATTGAAGAGGCTTTCCTTTCTCCATTGTATGTTCTTGGCTCCCTTGTCGAATATTAGTTGTCTGTAGATGTGTGATTTTATTTCTGGGCTTTCAATTCTGATCCATTGATCTCTGTGCCTGTTTTTGTACCAGTACCATGCTATTTTGATTACTTTAGCTTGTAATATATATTGAAGTCAGGGATTGCAATGCCACCAGCTTTGTTCTTGTTTTTCAGGATTTCTTTGGCTATTTGGGGTCTTTTGTTGCCCCATATGAATTTTAAGATTCTTTGTTCTATATCTGTGAGGAATGTCATTGGGATTCTGATTAGGATTGCATTGACTCTGATGATTGCTTTAGGAAGTATGGACATTTTAACTACGTTCATTCTTCCAATCGATGTGCTTGGAATATCTTTCCATTTCTTTATGTTATTATTGATTTCTTTCAGTAATGTCTTATAGTTTTCTTTCAGCTCCTTGGTTAAATTTATTCGTAGATATTTTATTCTTTTTGTTGTGATTTTAAATGTGAATGTATTCTTGAGTTCTTATTCTGTTAGCTTGTTATTTGAGTATAGAAATGCTACTGATTTTTGTAAGTTGACTTTGTACCCTGCAACTTTGCTGTAGTTTTTCATTATTTCTGATAGTTTTCCGATGGATTCTTTAATGTTTTCTATACATATAAAATCATGTCACGTGCAAACAGTGAGTTTCACTTCTTCAGTGCCTATTTGGATTCCTTTTATTTATTTTTCTTGCCTAATTGGTCTGGTCAAAACCTCCAGTAATATGTTGAATAAGAGTGGTGGGAGTGGGCACACTTGTCTTGCTCCTGTTCTCAGAAGGATGACTTTCAGTTTTTCCGAATTGAGTGTGATGTTGGCTGTGGGTTTGTCATATATGGCCTTTATCATTTGAGATCCTTTCCTTCTATACCCATTTAATTGAGAGTTTTTATCATGAATGAATGTTGGGTCTTGTCAAATGCTTTCTCTGCATTTGTCACGTGGGTTTTTTTCCTCATTTTGTTAATGTGGTGTATCACATTGATTGATTTGTGGATGTTGAACCATCCCCATGTCCCTGGTATGAACCCCACTTGATCATGGTGTATGATCATTTCAGTGTATCGCTGTATTTGGTTTGCCAATATTTTGTTCAGGATTTTTGAATCTATTTTCATCAGGGATATTGGCCTGTAATTTTTCTCCTTTGTGTTGTCCTTATCTGGCTTTGGTATCAGGCTGATGTTGGCCTTATAGAAGGTTTAAGAATATTTCCTTCCTCAATTTTTTGGAATCATTTGAGAAGAATAGGTAATAATTCTTCTTTGAATGTTTGGTAGAATTCTCCTGAGAAGCCATATGGTCCCTGACTTTTATTTTGGGGGAGGTTTTTGATAACTGTTTCAACTTCTTTACTTGTGATTGGTCCATTCAGATTCTCTATTTCATCTTGATTTCAGTCTTGGGAGGTTTTAAGAGTCTAAGAATTTATCCATTTCTTCTAGATTGTCCAGTTTGTTGGCATACGGTTTTTCATAATATTCTCTTATAATCTTTTGTATTTCTGTGGTATCCATTGTAATTTCTCCTCTTTCATTTCTATTGTTATTTATTTCAGCCTTCTCTCTTTTTTTCTTAGTGAGTCTAGCTAAGGCTTTGTCAATTTTGTTTATCTTCTCAAAGGACCAGCTCCTTGTTTCATTGATCCTTTTCACCGTCTTTTTTGTTTCAATTTCATTTATTTCTGCTCTAATTTTTATTATTTCCCTCCTTCTGCTGAGTTGGGATTTGTTTGTTTTTTTTTTTTTCCTAATTCTGTTAGGTGTAGTTTAAGACTGTTTATTTGAGCTTTTTCTTGTTTGTCAACGTCAGCCTGTATTGCTATAAATTGCCCTCTTAGGACTGCTTTTGCTGCATCGCATATGAGTTAGCATGGTGTGTTTTCATTCTCATTTGTCTCCAACTATTTTTTGATTTCTCCTTTTATTTCTTTGATGACACATTGGTTGTTCAGCAGCATGTTGTTTAGTCTCTACATTTTTGTTCCTTTCCCTGATTTTTTCTTGTAGCTGATTTCTAGTTTCAGAGCATTATAGTCAGAGAAGATAGTAGATATGATTTCAATCTTCTTAAATTTGTTGAGGTTTGCCTGTTTCCCAATATACAGTCTATCCTTCAGAATGTTCCATGTGCACTTGAGAAGAATGTATACTCTGCTGTTTTTAGATGGAGTACTCCATAAATATCTATTAAGTTCATCTGGTCTAGTTTTTCATTTAATTTCACTATCTTCTTATAGAGTTTTTGTCTGGATGATCTATCCACTGAAGTAAGTGGGGTGTTTAGGTCCCCTACTATTATTGTTCTGTTGGTAATATCTTCTTTTAGGTCTGTTAATAGTTGCTTTAGGTACTTTGGTGCTCCTGTGTTGCATGTATATATGTTTATAAGTGTTATGTCTTCTTGGTGAAGAGTCCCTTTTATCACTATATACTGCTGCTTTATGTCTCTCTTTAGCTGTTTTATCTTGAAGTCTACTTTGGCTTCTATAAGTATGGCAATGCCTGCTTTCTTTTGTTTGACATTAGCTTGGAGTATCGTCATCCATCTCCTCACTCTGAGCCTATGTTTGTCTTTAGACCTGAGATGTGTTTGCTGGAGGGAGCATATGTTGGGTCTTGTTCTTTAATACATCCTGCTACTCTGTGTCTTTTGACTATAGAATTCAGTCCATTTACATTTAGAGTGGTTATTGATATATGACGGCTTAATACTGCCATCTTATTGCATGTTTTCTGGTTCCTCTGCATATCATTTGTTTCTTTTCTAGTGTATATCAGGCTACAAATTTGATTAGGTAGTTTTCTATGTTGGTTTTCTTTATTTTCTCCTTGTTTATCATATATGTCTCTGCTCTAATTATTTGTTTAGTGGTTACCATTAGGTTAGCATAAAAAGTCTAGTAGATGAGATAGTCTATTTTCTGATTGCCCCTTATTCCCTTAGATTATACTGATTCTGTCCCTTTTCTCTTCCCCTTCTAAGTTATTTTTGTCATAGTTTATTCCATCTTCTGTTGTGAGTTTGTGGTTAAGGCGATGATATAATTTTTACTTTGGTGTTTTCTTTTTCTTTATCCTTGATGTAAGAGTTAAGTTTACCAACCTGATCCTATAGAGAGCTGCCAATTTCTGATTGTTGCATACCTATTCATCTCTTTGCTCAGGGCTTTGTAGCCCCTTTCCTGTTTTTCTTTTTTCCTTTCATGTATGAGGGCCTTTTTGAGGATTACTTGTGGCGGGGGGGGGGGGGGGGGGGGGGGGGGGGGGGAGGGGTGTCTTGTGGTGATGAATTCCCTTAGCTTTTGTTTATCTGGGACAGTTTTTATTTCTCCATCACATCTGAAGGAGATTTTCATTGGATAGA